CTAGCACATGTCGGCACATGTCGATATGTTAGTGATAGAATCGGTTCGTACAAGTGACCCTGCTAGTGGGGATTATACACTAGTAAATCGTGTGCCTGCCAGTGGGAAGTTTAATACACTGGCCATGACCTATAGAGGAGACGTCTATTTCGTTCCCGTACTGTATCCATTTTGTGTGATTGCACATGTTGGCATGCTATAAGTTTAATAAGGGGCACTCCATATTTACTTACTGAGTTTATCTCATAGTTTTTCCTTGTCCACCATTTCAGGAAGTGAAACTGAGGACGGGGAAACCACAGGAAGTGACGAGTTAGAAAGCTAGCCATTTCGAGATTGATATAGATTTTAGAAATAAATTGTGATTTTGTAAGCTAGAGTGTATTTGGAGATTTATGGTATCGGAGAAATTTTAAAGATTTGATCTTTAGATTTTGATGGTATCAGATTATGATATAATAAGTTTCGAGCCTTGTGCATTTGTGGGACCCTCTCACGAGTGCATGGTGTCTGTCGCGCCTCGAATTTGGGTTTTGGGGCGTGACACCCCTCCCCTCAAACAAACAACCTTAAGTATTCCTCAAGCCCTCCTCCTGTAGACCCAATCTGTTAACCCTTAAATCTATGACTGGATCCAAAAAAGCAAGAGAAGGCTCAATTCATAAAAGCACTAGCCTTGTTCTTCCTAAGCCATATGGTGGCAATGGTTATGACCACACTAAGAAGTGTTAAAACCATACTTTTTTGTTTACTATACTTTAAAATATGCAAGAAAATAATAATGTGTGTGTGGCACTAACACTTTTCAATGTGGCCAACCTAGCCTTGTATGGTGATCTTTTAGTAGTCCTTGTCCATGACACAAATGACCTAAACAGGTGATGCTAATCATAAGCTCCATGAAGGGATTTAGAATTGTTTGAGAGGTTTCAACTTGATCGTAGTCACAACCACCACTTTGCATGTTATTGTCATTTGGACTAGCATGGCTAGAAATGCTTGTTGGAGTCACCAAATTTGTTATGGGTGAATGCAAGACAAGGCAATAAAAGGGTCACCAAGTGTTGACTTATGGGAAAAGACACATCATACATTGAGCAAGGTGATAAAAGGGTGTGTTAGAAAAGGTGGCTTCTTTCAAACGAGACATTAAGGAGTGCACTAGATGAGTTAACTCATGAAAAGAAATATGTTGAATGAGGCAATAATGGAGTGTGTTGGATGAGGTGACTTATGATAGGCAAGGCATTAAGGAGTGTTATGGATGGGACAATAAATGAGTGTAATGGATGATACAACTAACACCAAATGAAGCATTTAAGGAATACAAAGGATGAGGTGACTTGTAAATGAATTACGCCATACGAGGTGATAAGGAGCAAGCTAAACAAGGTGACTCATGCTAGATGAGGCTTTAAAAAGTGCACCCAATGAGGTGGCTAGTGAAAAGACATATGAAGAATGAGGCAACTCATGTTGGATAAGATTTCTCATAGAAGCATATGTGCTAGACAAGGCAATAAAAGAGTGTGCCCAATGATGCAACTCATATCAAATGAGGTATTAAAAAGTACATCACCTGAGGTGACTTGTGGAGAAGAGATGTGCCAAGTGAGGCGATAAAGGAATGTATCAAATAAGATGACTCATGTTGAACAAGGCATTAAAGAGTATATTAGATGAGTAACTTGAGAAAATAGACACTCTAGACAAGGCAATAAAGGAGTTTGTCAAATGAGGCAACTCATGCTGGATAAGGCATGAAAGGTACATCGGACAAGGTGACTTATGGGAAAGAAGAGTTATTGTAGACAATGGCAAAGATACAAAGTACAGTAACAAACTAGATTGACACAAATAATAAACCCAAGGAACAAGTTTTAGATTAGCAATCCAAATAAGGCAAGAGTAAGGATAATAGGACTACAACCAAATAATAATTGTAATTCACATGTTCTTTTCCCCAAAAATTAAAATACTAACCACAAAGAAAGGAAAGAGGAAAAAAATAGTTTCAAGGGTTGTTTGGTATAGTATTTTAGGATTATCAATCAATGATTTTGTCCAAATTGCTATAGGATAGGTGTTTAGTTAATTTGTTTATTTCTAAATAGCTATAAATTAGGTTTTTGGTAAAATGTTTTATTTAATAGTATGGCACTAGTGAATAATGGCTAGGCTTTAAACTACTAGTGAATTAAAAAGTTAGCTTAAGTAGCGTTTTGTACCAAAAAGCTAGTAAGTTGGAATTTTTTTAATTCTATTGATGAATTTGTCCTTTTTAATTTTTTAATTTTTTCCAAAGCCTTTAATTACTAATTATCTAATTGGTTTCAATTTTGTTTTTTTCTCTTCACTAACATTAAATTATTATTTTATTTTTATTTTTTACATTAACTTATCATTAAAAACTTTATGTTAGTTTAATAAACAAAAATTGTTAATTAGATGAAATAATTGAAGGTTTGTTTTTTCATTATTCTATTAGTATTTTTTTACTTATGTAGCATAGTATTACTCCACCTTTTATTAATTTTTCTTATATAGCAATTTCGTAACTTACCTTCTCAAATTTTCTCACTATCTTTGTTACTCTACATTATATTTGCCCACACTTTCCCTCGTGATTAACTATTTATTTGCTATTATTCTTTCTCTTCTTATCCTCCCCTCTCTATTACTCTTCCTTAATTACTCATTACATCTTCATCTATCAGTATATATTTTTTTACCCAATATTCTCTTTTTATCTATCATTAGATTTTTTTGTTAATGTTACAATAATATATAAATATCTAAAAATCACAATTAATTTAGTAATATATGCAATAAATTCATACACATATCCATCAAGTTATAAGTTTTAACCAACATAAGGTAAAAATGCTACATTATTCACATGATTTTCCCTCTTTATATTAGTAATTTATTTATTATTTATTCTTTCTCTTATTATATCCTCTCATTTCTATTATTTTTTCTTAGTAATTCATTTAAATTTTTATCTATCAAAATATGTCTCTTTTTTTACACCATTTTTTTCTCATGATACTTTTTTGTTAGTGTCACACCCCATAACTCACATCTGAGGCGCAACAAATGCTGTGCACTTGTGAGACGAGTCCCACAAATGCACAAGACTCGAAATTTAATCATATCACAATCTGATACCACAAAATCTGAAATAAAATTTTAAAATTGCTCTAATATCATAAAATCTCTAAATACAATCTAACTTACAAGATCATAATTTATATCTAAATCTATATCAATCTTGAAATGGCTAGCCTTCTAACTCGTCACTTCCCGTGGTTTCCCCGTCCTCAGTTTCACTTCCTGAAATGGTGGACAAGGAAAAACTATGAGATAAACTCAGTAAGTAAATATGGAGTGCCCCTTATTAAACTTATAGCATGCTAGCAAGTGCAATCATGAAAAACGGATACAGTACGGGAACGAAATAGACGTCTTCTCTATAGGTTATGGCCAGTGTTTAAACCTCCCACTGGCAGGCTACACTATTTGCTGGTGTATAATCCCCACTAGCAAGGTCACTCGAACGAACCAGTTCTATCAATAACATGTCGACATGTGCTAGTGTTTAACCCCACTAACAGGATCATTAATAACATAATCACATCGGAGACAAAACAGGCAGAAGTTAACAGAAAAATCACAATTCACCAATCACTTTCAAATCATCAGGACAATCAATTAAATTTCAAGTAGGCATGCTCAATTTAATGAAAAGTATAAAAATTTCACTTCAAATCAGTCATACTTATTTTTGCATAAAATGAGTTTAGTCCTGCCACCATTTCAAAAACAAGTTAAAATATGCCTTTAAAAATTGTATGGGCATTACTATAAATTTACTTATCTCACTCGCATAAAACCGAAGACTTGATCTCAGTGCTAAACTGACAGAATGATTAGGAACCTAATCAAAACATCCAGAATTAATTACCATACCACGAATTCAAAAGTAAAATCACCATGACTACCCCCTAATCACGATGCCATTCCTATCAGTCTCCACATGATCAGACATCTCCAAATTTGTTCTTATATTACAAACTAATCATTTAATTCCTGTTAATTGTTGGCCATTAGTACGTGAACAGTGCTCTTGAACAGTAATCACGCCATGAACAGTAACTACAACTTCCAAAAATTAGCTAAACACTAGCTAATTTTACGGGATTTTTCTCCAAATTCCCACAGCAACTAATTAACTAATTTCTACATGAATTAAGCAACAAAACACACTTAAAATGCTCTAATTGCTACCGGAATTCATCCCCATTTTCTGCAGAATTTTGGACATCACAGGGGCAGCAAATTAACGGTAATTTGGACTTAATAAAGCTGTCACATACCAGGAAATCCAGCAAGCAAGGCCGGAGCTGCAATTTGGGGAAGAGCCGGCGGCAATTTCTGTAGGGGACTCTCACGGCTACCAAAATTGGAAGGAAATAAAAGCAATTAAAGTAAACCCAGCCTAAATCAAGGTTAAAGAGATGATTTTCATGGCTGTGGCTTACCAGAAAAATGCCCAGAAATTCGCACAACCAGCTGCAGCTCGCGGACAGGGGTAGAAGAGCAGAGCAGATCCGGGATTTCTGGGTTGAGGGAGGGAGTTCTAAGTCCTAAATCTTGTTCTTGGACAAGAAAGAAGGATAAAATCAAGCTCTCTTACTAGTTTCTCTCAAGTGGAGGTGCGTCGGGGCTGGGCTCTTGTTCGGCTGCAGGGGGGAACGGAAAAGAAGAAGAGAAACATGCAGTTGAAGAAAGAAAGAAGGAAGAAAAAATCACCCGGTCCTTATCCAATTATTTTCTTTTTTAAGTCTCTCACTTTTGAAATATTCACTATTAGGCCCCAAAACAATATTTCCTCACAATTAAGTCCTTAACTAAGTGCTAAAATATCACAAATTTTGGGGTAGTACATCCACCCTCCTAAAAAGGAGTTTGTCCCCAAAACTCAAATTGAGGATCATTTCGAGTGGTGAATGGCTTCACACAATCTGAGACAAAACAATTGCTCCACTAACCTTCCATGATCAGAATCTAGCCTACTACGCTTCCGTTGCGCCACTCTGATAACAAACCACAACTAATCCTAAGAGCAAAACATTAACTACTTAACAAGGTTTACCATGAAACAACTTATTGGAGGCTGGGGTGATATGAGAAGGACAAGGAATAGAAATAAATCCTGCCAAAGCCACAAAAGAACAATTGTGGGGTTACGCTATGAACCCAACACAAGACGAGTTGGCAAAGAATGGCATGGATTTAAAGATGAGTACAACAAAACTTTGAACTCTTATCAAAGACGGATAAGCATCCAATGGATATGTGGATCATGAATGAATGAACAAGTGCATGGATGCCTTATAAACTCTGCCACAAAATAAGGTTAACCAATAAGTAAGATCATGTTTAACAAAGCAACTGGAATCAAGAAACAGATTTTAGCAATTAACAAGAGTTAAAAGCTAGACCCATCAAATGACATGTGAAATTTTCAAAATAGCATCAGAATGAAATCAATGGAAAATATGAAAGCTTGGAAGAATATTGGAACATAAGAGTGCAAGGTAGAATGCCTAAAAAATTTTAACAACAAAACGACATTCACCAAGAGTCAAGATCAAGTTTAACCAAGCAGTCAAAATTGAGAGACAAGACTTAACCATGAAAGAAGCAATAGAATTCAAGGATTAGGCCCACAAAAGAGATTTCAATAATGACAATCAGAACACGGATTCAAGAGCAGATATAATCAGGATGTCAAGATCTAACATCCCAAGTAACACAAATTAATTGACAGAATAATCAATAATGGGGATCAGGATACTTAGAAGATTACTGTCTTCTAATTAAAAGGGCAAACAAAATCAAAGTAGCCAGATAAAAGACCATTTCTCTTGGAACAAAACTCTAGGGCATCAGGTACTTCAAAAACTACCCCTTCACCTTGTAGCCTATAAAGGCTAAACAGATTTACAATCAAGTCATCCTAGACATCCTAGAGTCAAGTCAAAGCTAAGACATCAAGGATACAAAGATTAACACTTGCAAGAGGCAAAAATTAGGATGCCTCATATAAGTATTTTCTAATAATCATCACCCTTCCTAAAGAGGTGTCCATATGAACAAAAAAATCAACAATTAAGAAGATCAATAGGTATACTGAAACAAGAACTAGCAGAATATGCAGGATTCGAGCAAAAGCAGTATACAGAATTTGACCAAGAGTAAGGGTCAGGACAAGAATGGTTTTCAAGGATAATTCAAAATAGATTCCAAAAATCAAATATCAATTGATTTTCAAGAAAAGGATGCTAACATGACTTTACTCTAGGCAAGGTTCGAGATAAGATTCCAAGAACAGTGCAAGAATTAATTTCAGAAAAGTATCAAGATAATGAGGATTTCAATAATCATTATCCATTTCCTTTGGATTTCAATTTTAAGAACTAGTACAAAACAATCTCAAGAAAGATTCAAGATGGATTTTAAGAGTTTCAAGCAGTTCCAGGTATCAAGAATGTAGAGATTAGCAACAAAGAGAGTTTAACTTTATGACAACTTGCCAATCTTCACAAAAACACAACAATTTCAATTGAATGATCACTGTTTTTGATTAACCAATATAGAAAAATGAGCCACATGAAAAGACCATGAAGCTCCAAGTGGAAAAAAGTGAAATTTCACTATAAGACTTTCAGAAAGATCATGAGCAATGAAATTACTAAGTTATCCAGCTAGTAAAATGCATCTAGAAAACACAACATTTGCTAAAATAGCCTTGAATCTCTTGCAAAGTAAGGGGTTGCCCATCTTCCACTGGTCATGTGACAAACAGAACAAATTTCTCAACCAGCTATGCTGTAGAGACCAACTGGATCAATAATAAAATATCTCTGCAACTCCCCAGGTTTTATAACTGCGGCAAAAGAGCATACGAAAATTCTATTCATGTAACAAGTCTAAACAAATGCAGACTATCAGAAAATGACCAAGTTTCAAAACAAGGTCTTAAGAACATGGCGGGCAAGATTAATTTCCTGAATCTACACAGGGTATGAAGGCAGAAAACAAGAACAATTAGATTGCCATCTTATCAAAAAGGATTAGAAAATTTAGGCAACACAAATCAGAATCGTCCCTTATATAACCCCATCACTTGTCTCACCACGGTTTTAAAATCCATTGGCTAGCCAAGTTCTGAACAAATCCTAGGTATTCAATTAAACCTAGGTATTTAATTAAACCTAAGCTCTAAAACCACTCGATGTGGAGGTGCTTAATTTAATCCTAAGCTCTTAATTTAAACCTAAGCTCTTAATTTCAACCCTAGCTCTTATACCACTAAATCTGTCACGCCCCAGAACCCAAATCTGAGGCGCGACAAACGCCGTGCACTTGTGAAACGGGTCCCACAAATGCACAAGGCTCGGAACTTAATCATATCACAATCTGATACCACAAAATTTGAAGATAAAATTTTAAAATTGCTCTAATATCATAAAATCTCCAAATACAATCTAACTTACAAGATCATAATTTATATCTAAAATCTATATCAATCTCGAAATGGCTAGCCTTCTAACTCGTCACTTCTCGTGGTTTCCCCGTCCTCGGTTTTGCTTCCTGAAATGATGGACAAGGAAAAACTATGAGATAAACTCAGTAAGTAAATATGGAGTGCCCCTTATTAAACTTATAGCATGCTAGCAAGTGCAATCATGAAAAACAGATACAGTACAGGAATGAAATAGACGTCTCCTCTATAGGTCATGGCCAGTGTTTAAACCTCCCACTGGCAGGCTATACTATTTGCTGGTGTATAACCCCCACTAGCAGGGTCACTCGAACAAACCGGTTCTATCAATAACATGTCGACATGTGCTAGCGTTTAACCCCCACTAGCAGGATCATTAATAACCTAACCACATCGGAAACAAAATAGGCAGAAGTTAACAGAAAAATCATAATTCACCAATCACTTTCAAATCATCAAGACAATCAATTAAATTTCAAGTAGGCATGCTCAATTTAATGAAAACCATAAAAATTTCACTTCAAATCAGTCATACCTACTTTTGCATAAAACGGGTTTAGTCCCGCCACCATTTCAAAAATAAGTTAAAATATGCCTTTAAAAACTGTACGGGCATTACCATAAATTTACTTACTTCACTCGCATAAAACCGAAAACTCGATCTCAGTGCTAAACTGACAGAACGATCAAGAACCTAATCAAAATATCCAGAATTAATTACCGTACCACGGATTCAAAAGTAAAATCACCATGACTACCCCCTAATCACAATGCTATTCCTATTAGTCTCCACATGACCAGACATCTCCAAATTTGTTCTTATATTACAAACTAATCATTTAATCCCCATTAATTGTTGGCCATCAGTGCGTGAACAGTATTTGTGAGTAGTGCCCATGAACAGTGCTTGTGAACAGTAATCACGCCGTGAACAGTACTGCAACTTCCAAAAATTGGCAAAACACTAGCTAATTTCACGGGATTTTTCTCCAAATTCTCACAGCAACTAATTAACTAATTTCTACATGAATTAAGGAACAAAACACACTTAAAATGCTCTAATTGCTATCGGAATTCATCCCCATTTTCTGCAGAATTTTGGACATCACAGGGGCAGCAAATTAACGGTAATTTAGACTTAATAAAGCTGTCACATACCAGGAAATCCAGCAAGCAAGGCTGGAGCTGCAATTTGGGGAAGAGCCAGCGGCAATTTCTGTAGGGAACTCTCACGGCTACCAAAATTGGAAGGAAATAAAAGCAATTAAAGTAAACCCAGCCTAAATCAAGGTTAAAGAGATGATTTTCATGCTGTGGCTTACCAGAAAAATGCCTAGAAATTCGCACAACCAGCTGCAGCTCGCGGACGGGGGCAGAAGAGCAGAGCAGATCTGGGATTTCTGGGTTGAGGGAGAGAGTTCTAAGTCCTAAATCTTGTTCTTGGACAAGAAAGAAGGATAAAATCAAGCTCTCTTACTAGTTTCTCTCGAGTGGAGGTGCGTCGGGGCTGGCCTCTTGTTCGGCTGCAGGGGGGGACCGGAAAGAAGAAGAGAAACACGCAGAAGAAAGAAAGAAGGAAGAAAAAATCACCCGGTCCTTATCCAATTATTTTCTTTTTTAAGTCCCTCACTTTTGAAATATTCACTATTAGGCTCCAAAACAATATTTCCTCACAATTAAGTCTTTAACTAAGTGCTAAAATATCACAAAATTTTGGGGTATTGCAGTTAGTCTATACTTCACATTCCACTAATTTGTCTTGAGACTTTATCTCTTAACTTATTTTTTTCATATTCTATTATCATATTTGTTTGTCTACTTTACATTCACTCTCATTTTCTCTCTATATATTAATAATTTGTTTATTATCAATCTTTCTCCCTTTATCCTTATTCCCTCAAAATAATTTATTTTTAGTCACTCCTTGCATCTATCTTTGCTAATGTATACCATTTTTGCCCTAATTTTTTTCTCTCTCCCATCCTTCTTGTGTGTTTATTCGAATTGTTTAACTTTTAGTTTTAATTAATATATTAGAAGTTTATAAGGGCTCTTACTTTACCATTTTTATAATATTTTTGATAGTTTAGACTTTTAATAAAAAGAATGTCAAAACATTTTTTGGTTCTTCATAGGGTCAATTTCATTTTTTTTAGATTCTTTTTAGGTTCTCTTACTTCTTGCTTATGCTTAGGTAGTTCATTTATTAAGAAATATGTTAATCCAAAATTTTTTAGATCTTAATCATTACTCTCTTAGTCCTAGAATAATGGAGTAAATAATAATCAATTTGCAAAATGTCACTTTGAATATAATATGATGTGTATCTACTCTAAACTTAATATATAATTGAAATAGAAGTCAGATTTTAAATTTGGGTAAGTTGTTATCAACTTTAATAATATATAGATGTAGAATTCAAATTATTATATGGTAATTGAAGTGGAATTTGAGAACAATTAGTAAAATTTTGATTAAACTAGTTATTTTTTGGCCCATGCGTTGCACGGGTTTTCTCTAATTTAATTTTTTATATTAAAATTTAGATTTTTTTATTAAGTTTTATGATTATTTTTAATTAAAAAATTCTAATGAAGTAATTAAAGTTGAGTTGAAAATTGTGTTTAGTAATTAGTAAGAGTGTATTTTTAAAAGAATTGTATATAATCATATTAAAAAAAAAGGATTATTAAGAGAATTCAAAAAACATTCAATATTAATCTTTTTATCTCATAATTTAAATATATATTCTTTTTTTCTACTATTATTCTACTTAAAGATTTAGATAATATTCTCTTTTCTCTTAATTAAAAAACTACAATACATTTAAATAGGATCAAATACTTGTGTGTTGCATATGCATTGCACGAGATCATTTTAATGTTCATTTCTCATCATTATATTAAAAAATTGATATACTTTTTTAAAATATAACTTAAACTAAGTAATTTAAACATGTATATTCTACAATTAAATTTTGAATTAAAACAATCTTTTGAACAAATCATTTAAATTTTGTTATTAGAAATTGAAAAAGCTTTAAGATTTTGTTATCAAGAATTGAAAAAATCCTAAACTCATTTACAGTATTTTATTTTATTTTTAAGCCTTCAATGCTTAATATTCTTAAATATTCACTTTTTCTTAAGTATGCTTAGTATTCTATGAATTAATATTTTTCATTTCTTAAGCCATTCTTCCTTAATTTAATATACATGTAACGAAAAATAAAAATAAATATACTAGTTTAATATACATCAAATATTTGGATAAAAATGTATGTTACTCCCATTTAATGGGAAATTGTAAGGATAACTTTAGATATTGTTTTAGTACATATTTATACATTAATTTTTATTATTGTTGATGTTGTTATTGTTGTTGTTGTTGTTATTATTATTATTATTATTATTAAATAGCAATTTCAAAATATGTATTAAGAAAAACAAAAATAAAGCATATATTTGTAATCCAAAATAAATAAATAAATAAGAATCAAATTTTATTTGACTGATTTTGACATTTATAAACTAATATGGATATTTCTCAAATTCTTCATATTTTTAATTTATTCATCAAAAGGCTTATTTTGCATTGTCATCATCACATTCTTTTATATGTCTACATTCAAAATAAATAAATATATATACATATTCTATTATTTTTTTAAAAAATATTTTTGATAAAACAAAAAAAAATCTATGTAAAATAAAATCAAACAATTCATTTAAAAATCTTCTTCTTTGTCAACCTTTTTTAGATCTCACTTCCTCATGCAC